CTGTGATGCTGGTATGATGACGGCAATGAGGTTGCCCATCAAGATAGGCAATGAAAATCAGGTTGCTACCGCCATTACGCCGCTGTTTACAGTATGCAAGGTCTTGGATCACTCGGGACGAAAAGGTTAATCGCCAGCATGGCCACCCCATTGGACAATTACCGTTTTATAGAATAATTTTATGTGTGGCACATATGATACTAAGGGATAATACCCTTTTGTAGGAAAATTTCACAATAAAAATTATATTCTAATATAAATCTTTAATAATGCAACTGTGTGGAATAGAATAGGAGTTTGCGAATGTACAAATTTTATTTGACAATTCACGAGATAACACTGTAAGAAAGTACTCTTCATGACAAGTCTTCTGGGAGCGTTCAGGTTAGGTTCTTCAACACCATAAAATCAGGTGTGTTGTGGCTGTGTCCCTAAAAGAACATCCGACAAAAAGACATGCGACCACACCTTTTGTATGTTTTTCTTATTAAATTTTAATTCTTAATATATTTTTTACCTGTTACGCCCGAGGATGAAAGTACCAGACAACTGATTTTTAACACGGGAAAATATTTTTAAAAAACCTTAACTCGTCGGCGACGCAGCAATTAGCTAGACCTTACGTAGTATTCGAGTAACGCCCGTCCGTCCGCCCGTCCGTCCGTCCGTCCGTCCGTCCGTCCGCCCGTGCCTCCGTCCGTCACTAACGGTTATACAACTTCTCGGCCACAAATCAAGACGTATGAGGGTGATTGTTCGCGTCTCGGTTTCCTGAGAGGCAACTATAGTTTGTTTTCGGATCCGTCCCAGAAGATTCTAAGAAATTTCCCAAAATTTGTTGCAGCGTTTGTAGCGCTGCTATTTAGCAGTGGACGTGTGAACAGCGTACCCCAGCGCCTGACAGACAGGTGATGACAGGTCGCTAGATATTAAGGAGTTTGTGCACGCAATTAGCGGAGCACTGTCGATCGTCTTCGCAGTCGCAGACGCACTAAAGTGATGTGAAACTTGAACTGCGCATGCGCAGAAGATGGATAGTGCTTCAACGTTCGAGGGTGCACATGCTCCCCCATCACTTTTGTACACCTGCGCATGCGCAGAAGATCGAGATTGCAGTCCGCTAAGGCGGGCGTCTCGATTTGCACAAAAGCGATACGAAACTTGAACTTCGCATGCATAGAATATTGATAGTGCTTTCGATGTTTTTAACGGTGGAAGGTGCAAAAACTCCCTATTGTGTCGCCTGGAGGCCGCTGTTTACAGTCCGCGGAGCAGGGCTTGTATCAATAGGAAGGGAAAGGTTCATCGCAAGTGTTGCTTCCTCGTAGGATAAGTAAAATAATTGAACGTTGTGTTTTAGAATAGGAGCTTGCATAGATACAAATTTTCTTTGAGAATCCGCCTGCTATTACATTAAAAAAAATGTATTCGTTAGTCCAACTGTTGTGGGAGTCTTGTGATTAGGTTTTCCGACAGTATATTCTGGATGAGTAACGGCTAACGAGTAAACGTTGGCGCCACGGTCTCGTGACGACACTGACTGATCCAGGGAGGGGGGGGGGCATGGCTTCTCCCAAAAGGCCAAGATTTTTCGTTTACCTTCCATTATTTGGCAAAATTGATTTAAATATTTATGTTCGAAAGATGTAATTATTAAAACAATATTGTGTAGTATCCTATCTACAGTACATAAATAATATACAATCTAATTAGAAATATGTTTATTATGTACAAAAATCTACGATACCCCCTTCCTCTCAAAAAGAAGAAGAAAATGCTCGGCTGGATCCGCCCCTGCGTGATGAGACCTGCAGGGAAATCTGATGGGAGATAACGAACGTTCTTCGTTTCGAGCGTTTTCGAGTAAATCGTAATAGGGTCAGAATTTCTTTTATCATTTTCTTATAATCAGGACTCATTTTCGTATGTGTCAGAATTTCTTTTCTTGAATCATGGAATACGGAAATGTGTTATTAATAATAAAAATGCAGTGGCGCCTCAATATGTCATATCTCAATGGAAACAGCTTTGAATTATCTTTTTTTTTTTTTTTTTTTTTTTTTTTTTATAAATAATGGGGTTTCGAATTATCATGTTCATGAGGCAGCGAATGGATGTCCTATAATTCTCATTTATAAATGTATTCAATGAATTTCCCATCATGTTCTTAGCCTGCCACCTGAACGTTTTTACCGAGTGTTAATCAAATTCCATTGTTAATTTGAGGAATTTCATCTGATAACTAGTATAATCCATCTCCATTATATTTAGTGAATATGCTATCATTTGTCGATGTGGTCGTGTTTTGATTCTCGAGCTCTAAAGTAGGGTCAGTGATAGGGAATGACTTGCCAGATGGCTGGTATTGATAGTGAGTGATATAACAAGTAATCCATTGCAAACGTGACAGGAGCCTTGTGCATTATGGGTCCTCATAATTACATTTGACCGCTACGATACCTCGTATGTATTTTAATTCCTAAATATTTAGTAGTACGTATATGTGAAGTATTATTCAATGAAATAAAAACAAACAAACAAAAAACCGACTGCTTCATAAACTCACAAACAGTTCATATCAGCCAGGAAAGAATTATACTCACATTAGATTGCAAAGAATGTACTCATATAAGACAGCGGTCGCACAATGGCAGTCTCCCGCCCACTTCTACTTTCTACGTAGTTCTGGTAATCCAACCCACGTTTTAATATAGAACATATTGAAAGAGAGAACACGCCGTACCGCATTAATTTGCCGCTAATAATTTGCCGTAGCAGTAGGAAAGCTCTATTACGGACATTATTTTGTTCTCTAACACGTGGCAACCCTGTCAGGTTTGACAAAGTGCTTGCGAATATTTTTTACCCCACTGCGCAAATGCAAAAAAGGGTAAAATGGTTCGCTTGGGCCGTGTCTATGCAACAAGTACGATGATGTTAACGTAGTACGAATGCTTAAAGGCAGTAATTTTTATTCACAATTCTTGCCCATTCCTTCTAAAAACAATGCCGTATTACTCGGAAATGACAACTGGACTGGAAATGTAGATATTATTGTGGATTCAAGTGAATATTCTTTATTTTCTTCTTTTTGTCTTTCTTTTCTTCCTAATCATTCCAAAATTCCACACTGTATCCTCTAAAAACTAACGAAGTAAACATACATGTTCTAGAAATATTAAACACACACAAAGGTGCTGATGGATGGTTAATATGTGCGAATGTATAATATGTCTCTCGCAATATGGGCAGTATTTATAGGATACCTGAACATACACTAATGAATGCTCACTTTTAGTATTTTATGATAGAATAGTGTAAAATAAGCTATTCTATGTGGGTCTGTCCTAACGTCTCACTAATGTAACTGCAATGCCTCCTCTGTCTTAATCACACACTCGCGTTTCTTCATCTGCGATTTGACGTAATTACCATGAATTCTTTAATACTCTTTTTTTAAAATCGGAATACAGAAAATCACTCGTTAAACTATTCCAAACCTCGAACTGCACGCATCGGTTTTGGTGGGTCTGGGCATCAATTGATGTCATCGCAGTGCCTCTGCCCAGGAGGTCCTAGGGGATCGAGACTCGACAGGATTTTCGACACTAGCTACGTAGCTAGCTTGAATTCAGGTGCTTTCTGGAGGAGAGTTCTAGCGGCCGGCTGCTCTGATCGGTTGTTTATTATGATCGGTAGGTTTCTGGAGCAGCACACTAACAAATCGGCCGTTGACCACGCGTGATCTTTCCTTCCTCTTCGTTACTGTAGTCTTTGTCGAAAGCGAATAAATGAAATAATAGCAACACATGATGTTCTGTATATTTTTTATTTTATTTTTTACATTCGATAAACATTATTATTAACACAATAAGTGACCAAACAATAAAATGTAACTCATTTAATTTAGTATTATTTTAAAAATGGAAACAGGATGAGTAAATACCGTCCGTTTGATCATATCTGTTTAAAATATTGATGTTTTTGTCCTTTTCATCAATATTTAAAATATTTTGGCTCGGTTTCGATGATTTAAATGAAGTGATTTATAGTTTTGATTTAAATCAAATAATTTACCAAAAGTTGTCGATTTAAATCAAAAATATAATGTAAAATTAAAATATAATGTAATTTTTACAATAATAAATTTGAGAAATTTGAAAACAAAGGAAAAATTTGCCAGAAAACAAGACAGAAAATATTAGAAGGCGAAAAATAGCGGAGCGGAATATATTAAAAAAGCAACAACAATGATTCTGCCAAAGTGCGCGTTGACATTAACTTTTTGCAAAAGAGAATGGTGTACATTCCAGTCATTTTCGAATGATGAAAAATATGCTTTGATTTTGATTTCTATAAACTGGATATTTATACTACTCAAAATTCATATTTATTCGGACTAAATCTGGCTTTCGGACATCCTTGCAAGACAGGATATTTGAATGACTGAACCAATGTTGGTGAAACACGAATAGTATAGTTGTAAACCCCAAAAACGTTAGAGGTCTTAATATTTTTTCTCGTCATTTTCAGAACGTTGCCTTGATATGTATAAAAAAATCCGGAAAGAATTCACTGATTCATAGTTTCTGAGGTATTTTATGAAAATTCTAGTAAAACTCTCAAAATTCTAGAACTAGGTCAATGTGGGTTAGCCCCATTCTTCTACTGAGCTTTTCCGTTTTTTGTCTCCTTTTTCAAATATATAAAAAAATACCCAATTTAAATATATAAATTTAAATAAAAATCTAATTTAAAATTTAAAAAATATTTAAATCAAAAACATCCGATTTTTTTTATTTAAAAAAGGTCATGATTTTTATTAACCCTGCCTGCCTTTTGATGCAATATCGATGTTTTGGTAAAGTGGTGTCAGTACGCGCGGCGCCGTCGTGCAGCGGTGGCGGTGGCGGTGGCGGTGGCGGGAGTGCGCGTGCGCGTGCGCGTACGGCTGCTGACTCACAACGCGCTCTCATGTGCTCTCTCGTGTCGTCCCGCAGCGCAGTATGAGCGGCCCTCCGCGCCGTTTCCTCAGCAGCAGCAGCCAGCCCAGCTCCGGCACTCGCAGCAGCAGCGGCAGCAGCAGCAGCAGCGGCCCAGCAGCGCGGGCGGCGGCACGGGCAGGTTCTCCTCCGACAGCATGACGCAGCGCGAGGATGTCATCAAGTTCGAGCAGGGCCGCATCCGCGCCCTGCAGGAGGAGCGGCTGGCCATCCAGAAGAAGACCTTCACCAAATGGATGAACTCCTTCCTCCAGAAGGTGAGTCCCGTCTCTGCGCGCTTGCGACGGCTGGCGACGGACGTGATGGGGGTGGCACGAGCGGCAGCTTGGAACAAAAGAAAACGTAAATGGCGTACTCACAACCAGTGAGCTCTAGTGTTGGCTTCGGACAACACTCTGCTCGGAAATCATGACGTTCCCCCGTGATGGTGATCGTCTGTTGTGTCTTTGTCTCAGAATCAAATAGCAGGAATGAGCATCTCGGTCCAACTTTAAACATTTTTTCTCTTTTGTGTTCCCTAAAACATAATAAAAAGTTTAATGTAACCGATATTTAATACCTGAAATTGAATATTGAATACTACAATACTTTAACAAATACAGTATTTCATTTCTTGGGGTCGTTTTTAACATTCACGCTGGGGAATGTTCTTGGGTCGCGTATCTTTAATAATTTCGTGAGATCGACTTATAACCAAAAACAGTCGTCCGAAACCTAAAAAAATATTAATTAAAGTAATGGCTATTAAACAGCATCTCATCTAATAGCATTCGCATCTAGTTTACAGTTTGTTGGCGTTCTTTGCAACCGAATGCTATGTAATACTTTTGCATTTTCATTGACAGACGATTGTAAGCATCACTAACAACACACGAGACACATTTAACTCGTAATAAATTCTGTAGACAGACACACTGCAGCTAGCTTAACGAAAAACAACATACACTATTTTCAGCACTTCAAAGCATTGCAGTTGTGAGTGTCAGCTATAATGTTGAGATCTCTGCTCACCGCAATCTTAATAGATGCTCGAGCGTGTTGTTCCCTTCACTTATTTCAGAGTGATCTGGTTGCTACCAACAAATGCAATTTTTAAAAGGAGATCCTGATTTGGCTTGGAGCGGAGAGACTTTTCTGGTACACTGTACATCCTCGCTGTGATGCGGTGCGGCGACTGTCGCCTTGTGAGCGGCAGGTGATTTGTGTTTGAGGTCTGCCTTCTCGCGATTGAAGTTTGCTTACTTGGCCTTGAAGTCACCCTTCTCACGTTTCAAGTCTCCCTTCTCAGGTTTGGCATGCGACGTCTTAGAGTTGACATCAATCTTCTCAGGTTTACGTGTGCCTTTTCAGGTTTGACGTGTGTTTTTATAGGTTTGTCGTGTGCCTTGTCAGATTTGACGTCTGCGTTTTTAGAATTGATGTCTGCCTTCTCACGATAGACATCTGTCGTTTGATGTCTTCCTCTCATGTCTGACTTTTCATGACTGAAGGCTGATGTCTGACTTTTCATGACTGAAGGCTGATGTCTGACTTTTCATGTCTGAAGGCTGATGTCTGACTTTGATGTCTGAAACAACGTCTAGGGCATAATCAACTTTGATTTTATTTTCTTCAGAAGAATCTGAGTGAGTTGCATCTCCAGTAGTCTGTCAACTTTGCAATCTTTTTCTTTTTCCTATTATGTTGTGGAATGTGTAATTTTAAGGTAATGATTTTAAATTTATAACCGTTTGTGATACTTGTTCTTGCCGGCTGGACGCATGACGTGAGGAAACTTGTAAAGTATCCTTACAGGATGACTGGACACTAGTTTCATACACGCAACCCACCGCTCGGAATTGGAATACAGCTCTGGGAATCAGTAGTTTATGACCTTTCTGTAGTAGTGACTGGTGGTATTCGTGGGAACTATGTCAAAGTTTCATTGACTCTTCCTTCTCGTGGCGAAATTCCTTGACAAACATTCCTAGAATGGTTACCTACAAGTATTTTTGTACTCGTTAACAAAATATAATAAAGTGATAACGTTTATTTGAATAATAAGTCATATTGTGTCAGAGAAAATAGTAGTTTATTGCTGACAAACGCACATGAGAATCGGGTAACCCATCTCATTCTTGAATACAATAGGTTATTCACGTTGGTACAAAAATAATACAATTTTCGTTTGGTATTTTGCAACGTACTCGTATGTGACTATATTCGATCCTCTGGATCGCCTGCATTTTAATGCTTCTGAACTCAGGTGTCCCAGGTTGTTCCAAATGTGGCGAATGAGTGAAGCAATGGGATAAGAAATGGAAATTTGGCAAGGAATTAGGCATGATCCAATGCTGTGAGAGGGAAAGCATTATCTTGCGAAAATGGGCAAAGGAATCTCTGTCCTAACGCATTCTGTATGTTGCAGCAGAATGTCCTGCCCAAATGGTTCTGTTGTCACTGGTCCTCGTTCCACACAATTAAGTGACCGGCGTACGTTTGTAATAGCTCTGGGATGGATCTAAGAGAGGGTAGATGTCTACTGGGCGCTGCTCTGAATCCAAACATCAGAGAGTGACAAAGGTGATGGGACGTATTGGAGGACTTTTGAGGATTCGGGGCTCAACAAATAATGAATTATGAGATGAGAAGAAACCAGCACTAAACGTATGGTGAGAACTGCGCAAGAGAGAAATATGAAAACCCAAAAGTAGGTTAATATGATAGAAGTTATAGGTGAAAAAGGAATGTTTAAAATTACCTCTTCGAAGAGATGAAATAGATTCGTTTGATGCTATTTGCAATGCATCTAGGCATTAGGGTACTCTATTGAATAAATACCTCCTCAGACCTGATCACTACTTAAGACAATCTGAATGTTTCGCGTGAAACTCAAAGATGAAAATATCCAAAATTCGTATTAGTAATCTGAATGTTTAGCATGAAACTCAAAGATGAAAATATCCAAAATTCTTATTAGTAAGGGAATTATAGAACACGTTTGACACTATTGAACAAGTTCCTAGAATGTGATAAAGTTATGATTATAACAAGGACATCATTAAACTCAACTTATATTAGAGAATATGTGAAACAATTCATTGAACATCAGGCAAGAAGGGCCGAAAAAACACACCAATATAGTCAAAATAAGTCACGGCCACACCTGTGAATACACGATAGCAAATCTTGGACCATAACAAAGAACATATAAAGTGCTGGAATGAGATTCTTTAGGAAGAATTCTAGACGAGAAAGGGAAGTGAATATAAGGAATAAATGAATAATATAGTTGATTAACAATAGAGTACGAGGTAAAAACTCGAGACGTTTAGACAGAATGCCCTCCTCGAAACTACCTGAACAATTTTAATATAAACCACTAGGTAAGGGATCAGTGGGTGGACCTAGGACCGGTTGGCCGAAGTGTTGTGAACACGGAATTGACTGCAAGTCTACTCCTTCAAGTGAAGAATATTATTATTTTTTTGTCCGATTGTGAGAAATAGAAAATATAAAGGACCTTAGTAAGTATGTTTAATAATGCAAGTAGCAACAAATGTTTTTGTTAGTTATCACATATTTTGTAAAACGTCGAAGGCTACACTCAGCCCATGCTGTGATTAAATTTCATTTCTTTTAATGAAAATATTTTTGTTTGAATGTTTCGTGACACGTTAATATGAACTGCTTACTGATAAAGTTTAGGGGGGAGCGCGTTCCCTTCATTTCCCTTCCCGTGGAATCCTGCGCCTGTATATTTTCAATTTTACAAGTTGTAAATCTTCATGACAGTCCTTTATCACGTACATTATTCTTGAATATGGTGTGAAGACACAAAAACAAAATCTAAAAAAGTGAGATTTTGTGTTCTTCATTATATTCGAATTTTACAAGTTGCAAAATCTCATGAAGTCTTTTATCACGTAATTAGTCTTGAACTAGTTGTGGAAGACAAAGGAATCAAAAGGTTAAAAAGGAGAGTTTTGTTTTTAGTATATTTCAATTTTACAAGTTTGTAAATCTTCATACAGTCTTTATTCACGGGCTTAATCTATTCTTGAATATTGTGGAAGACAAAAACAAATATAAAAAAGGAGATGTGTTGTTTTATTGGTATATTATTCAATTTTACAAGTTTGTTAAAATCTGTCATGACAGTCCTTATGCACGGTTAATTATCTCTTGAATATTGTGGGAAGACAAAAACAAATTAAAAAAGGAGATTTTGTTTTGTTCAAATTATCAAGCAGGCGACAATCTTCACGTCCAGGAATTGCTGGTGTTCCGTGTGTAATCCTGATTGCCACATACACGCGAGTTTATATCGCGGGATTCGTCACCGCTGATTTGATTGGTTGCTCGGATCCCGAGCACGTCAACTGCTGTGATAATTTTTTCCATTTCTGTTGTTAATGTTATATCTCGGGAAGTGGCTGTGTTCCTTCCCTTCCCTGCTAGATTGTGAGATCTGGTGCCACACTATACGTTGACTTGCGGGTCCCCCCAGGTATTTCCACCAATAGGGCACCTTCCTAGCTGGATTGATTAATTACTACTGATTCCGGGCGCCTCAATTGCTAATGTCATTAGTCCCGTAAGTGTAGCGCACGTTTTTGTGGGAAGTGGCAGTGATCTTGACCAGCTGAATGGCGAGATTCAGCGCCGACCTACCATCTGATAGCGGGGTTTTCCTCACCCACGTATATCCCACCAGCTGGGGCGCGCGGACTGTGACCCATATGGTAGGGGTCTGCTCCGCCATTCGCTTGGTATTGATCGGAGAAACCACGGAAAACTACCGATCAGGGAAGGTAAATAGAATTCTCCTCCAGACAGCGACAGAACTCAACTTAGCTATCTGGCTAGAGTCGAAAATTATGCTACCATCGGATCTCGAACTCCAGAACCTCCCGGTGACAGGAACTGCTGTGACCATTAGTTGATGTCCTGAGCCACCTCTTCTGAGGCACCTTCCCAACTGGGACTAACTCTAGAAGTTCCTTCGGGTCTGGCGACACTACGGTAGTGTGGTGAATGCAAGTGTGCGCGTGCATGTGAGTTAAGGCAGAGGAGCGAAAGATGAAGAACAAGAAAACATCGCTCGGTGTCCGTGGTCCGTGTGCTACGATACCGGTTTTCGCGTGTCATTGGTGGCAGAAACGCCGCAAAACTTCCGAGCAGCCGACTACGAGAATTGCCCGGCAGTCGGCGGCTGAATCGCACCTATCTTTGTAGCTAGTGTCATGGCTGGAAGCGTTCACCGAAACGCGTCGCT